ACGTCATACAAGATCAGAATAAGTTTATCGAAAATTCCGAAGGACGGAGGATAACTCATGTGGTACCCTGTAATTTCATAAGACCATAAAACATTGAAGGGCATGAATAAACCTGATTTTTCAGGCCTAAATCAATTTTACTTCAGTTTGACCTATTTTTTATATTTTTTAAAGTCACACAAGGTCAAAATACGTTTAATAAATATCAAGAGGGATCGAAAATGACAATTTAGGTGTCCTGTATTATTTAATTCGCAATCAAACAATTTTAAGGCATCAAAAAACCTGATTTTTGAGACTTAATCGATAATACTTGGGTTTGACCTACTTTTATGAATTTTTCAAGGTCATACAAAGTCAGAGTAGGTTCATTAAAAATTCAGAAAGACACAAAATGACCTAGAAGGTACTCTGTAATTTGATAAGATCAAAAAAAAATTTCAGGGCCTGAAAAAAACTGATTTTTTGGGCCTAAATCAATTTTACTTGAGTTTGACCTACTCTTATTAAATTTTCAAAGTCATACAACATCAAAATAGGTTCAATGAGAATTGAGAAGGACAGCAGATGATTAAAAAGGTACTCTTTGATTTTGAAGGCCCATAAAAATTTTAGGGCATGAAAAAACTGGATTTTTTGGGCTTGAATCAATTGTACTTGGTTTTGAACTAGTTTTATTTATTTTTTAAGGTCATGCAAAGTCAAAATAGTTTTAATAAATATCGAAACGAAAGTAGAATGGTCTTAGGAGGTACCCCGTATTTGTCAAGGACTATAAAAATATTGACGGGCACAAAGACACTTGATTTTTTGGGCCTCAATCGATAATACTTGGGTTTGACCTACTTTTATTAATTGTTCAAGGTCATACACGGTCAGAATAGGTTGATCAAAAATTAGGAAGGACGTAGAATGACTCAGAAAGTACCCTGTAATTTTATAAAACCAGGAGGTACCCTGTAATATTATAAAACCAAAAAAAATTGAAGGGCATACTAAAACCTAATTGTTTTTGCCCAAATCAATTTTACTTGTGATTTACCTACTATTATCGATTTTTCAAAGTCATACAAGGTAGAAACAAATTCGAAAAAAATTTAGAGCGACTGAGGATGACATAGAAGGTACTCTGTTATTATTAAGGACAATAAAAATAATTTAAGGTCGTAAAGTAACCTGATTTTTTCGGCCTCAATCGATAATATTTGGGTTTGACCTACTATCATTAATTTTTCACGGTCATACAAGGTCAGGGTAGGTTCATCAAAAATTCAGAGGGACAGAGGATGACTTACGAGGTACCCTGTAATTTTATAAGACCCTAAAAAAATTTAGGAGCATAAAAATACCTGACTTTTTAGACCTAAATCTATTATCCTTCGGTTTGAAATTCTTTTCTTTGTATTTAAAGGTCATGCAAGGACAAAATAAGTTCAATAAATATCAAGAAGGACGTAGGATGTCTCAGGTGGTACTCCGTAATTGCCAAGGACTATAAAAAAATTTGAGGGCATAATAAAACCTGATTTTTTGGGCCTTAATCAATAATACTAGGGTTTGACCTACTTTTATTAATTTTTCAAGGTCATACAAGAACAGAATAGGTTCTTCAAAAATTCAGAGGGACAAAGGATGACTCAGGAGGTACCCTGTCATTTCATAAGTCCATAAAAACAGTTAAGTGCATGAGAAAACCTGATTTTTCAGAGCTAAATCAATTTTACTTGAGTTAGACCTACTTTTTTATATTTTTCAAAGTCACACGAGGTCCAAATACGTTCAATAAATATCAAGAATGATAGAAAATGACACAAGAGTTGCCCTGTATTTTTTTAGGTGCCATAAAATAATTTTAAGGCATCAAGAAACCTGATTTATTGGGGCTCAATCAATTGTACTTGGTTTTGACCTACTTTAATTAATTTTTTAAGGTCATACTAGGTCAAAATAGTTTCAATAGAAATTCAGAGGGTCAGTGGATAACTTTGGAGAAACCCTGTGATTTTTAAGAACTATAAAAAAAATAAAGGGCATAAAGAAACCATATTTTCTTGGCCTTAATCCATAAAACCTAGGTTTGACCTACATTAATTAATTTTTCAAGGTCATACAAGGTAAAAATAGTTTTAATAAATATCGAAAGGAACGTTGAATGGTGTTTGGAGGTACCCTGTATTTATCAAAGATTATAAAAAAATTTAAGGGCATAAAGAAACCTTATTTTTTTTGCCTAAATCGATTATACTTGAAGTTGACGAACTTTTTTATGTTTTTCAAGGTCATACAAGATCAAAATATGTTCAATAAGAATTGAGAGGGACATCGGATAACTGGTAAGGTACCCTTTAATTTATAAGGTCCATATAAAATTTTAGGGCATAAAGAAACTGGATTTTTTGGGCCTAAATCAATTGTACTTGGTATTGAATTAGTTTTATTAATTTTTCAACGTCATACAACGTCAAAATAGGTTCAATAAAAATTGATAGAAACAGTAGATGACCAAGGAGAAACCCTGTTATAATAAAGAACCATAAAAAATTTTAGGGCATAGAGAAATCTGATTTATAAGGCCTTAATCGATAATACTTGGGTTTCACCTACTTTCATCGATTTGGCAAGGTCATACAAGGTCAGAGTAGTTTTATCAAAAATTTAGAGGGACGGAGGATCACTCAGGAGGTCCCCTTTGATTATTTGGGCCTAAATCTATTATCCTTCGGTTTAACATACTTTTCTTTATATTTAAAGGTCATGGAAGGTCAAAATAGGTTTAATAAAAATCAAGAGGAAAAGAGGATGACTGAGGAGGTCCTCTGTATTTTGATAAGATCCTATAAGAATTTGAGGGCACGAAAAAACCTGATTTTTTAGTCCTAAAAAAATTTAACTTTAGTTTGACCTACTTATTTATATTTTTCAAAGTCACACAAGGTCAAAATACGTTCAATGAATATTAAGAGGAATGGAAAATGACACAGGAGGTGCCCTGTATTTTTTTAGGCGCCATGAAAAAATTTTAAGTCATAAGATAACATGATCTTTTGGGTCTAAATCAATTGTACTTGGGTTTGACGTACTTGTAGTGATTTTTCCAGGTCACACAAGGTCAAAATAGGTTCATTAAAAATTCAGAGGGACAAAGAATGACTTAGGAGGTACCCTGTAATTTTATAAGACCAAAAAAAAATTTCAGGGCATTGGAAGATGTTATCGGGGTATTTTCAAATCTAAAGATGCCCTCAAATGCACTGTGGCACTAAAGTCCGGGCTGGGAAATTTTCATAATTATAATTTCATTAAGAAATATCTTTTGGTCTACTGTCTAGACATACAACAAAAAGATTATAACTTAAGCTTAGAAACATAATAATTTTTCGATAATAAGTAAAATTCTTAAACAACACTTTTAAACTATAGCCTAAAATAATTTAGTTAAAACACGTGTTAAGAGTAATCAATAACTAGAAGTAAAATAATGACTCAAAATGAATAGTTAAATAGAAAAACTATTAATCAAAATAGAATTTAAATGTTAAGAGTAATAAACAATTAAATTTCTTTACACCGTAAAAATCTCGGACCCGGAAAACTGCTGAGTGTTTGATCTCTTCGTGCTTCGACCTATCTAGTGGTAACATCGTACACAGTTTAAGTAAGTCTCAATAGACCACGTGTAATTTTGTCTCACTGAAAATTTTAACAGTTGTGAAAGAAAAATAGAATCATAAAGTGAAATCAACTAAATCAATTAGAATTAACAAGATTCATCAACTTTATCAGGTACATTTTAATTATTAATATTTTGTGAATTTAATAATCTGGTAAAATCGTTATATGAAAGAAAATATTAAATTTTAACGATATTATAATAGTTGTAACAATTGTAATAATTTTGTAACTTAATTAACTTTTAATTTAAATAATATATGTATTAAATGCAACTAATGATTAATATATTCAAAGAAACCTATTCTCAATAAATTAAAACCTCGGAGTTTCCGGTCTATTAGCCTAACACGCTAGGACTAAATACTAAAAAGTTTGGAAAATCCAAAAGTGCACGCCTCATAATCTCATTTTTTAAAATAAAATTGATTAAAATAAAATATAAAAAGCAAAATAATAAAAAACAGAAAACACTGCTATGGTATAGTGGCGCCATAACTGCAAGGTGAGGAAAAAAAATACTATAATAAAATGTATAGATCGAAATACAAAAAAATCCACAGTCATTTATTAGTTTTTTATAAATAATAATTTAACGACAGTGAATTGAACGCTCATATTAACTAAGAAATTCTGTCGTGTGTTACTTTAGATAATTAGAAAAAAATTATTCCGGTACGATCATTTTTTCGACCAATTTCCCTGCCACATACACCCATTCATACACGGACGTCCAAAAAAGATTATGTTTAATGTTATTATTTATTATGTTAAACAAAAAAATTGTTATTGAAATATATTTTATGTGCCTGAAAAATTATTTGACTTGACATAAGTGTACTCATTTTAACCTGCAAGTACGATATAAATAACAAAAAATCAATTTCAGTTTCGAGAAAACTGCTTTTTTCGAAATGTCGAGAGTAGAGCACAACCTCAACGCTTCGCTTATGAGGCGTGCAATAAGTTAACAATTTAAATCAATTAATTATTCATAAATTAAATGATTTTTACATAACATTTTTGGCGCTCGAACAGGGACACCGAAGTTTTTATTGAGAAATTGAGTTATTAAGACAGATTTTGGATATACAGAACAAATAATATTTTCTTTCAAATTATATTTGTATAAATTTAAAGGTGAATTTTTTTTGTATACTGTATTTCATGTTTTATTTTGTATTCTATTTATTTGAAACATTTGGGAATTGAAACTTGGTTGTTTATTAATTTAAAATTTATCAGTTAAATTCTTTTTTATTTTGAAATTTATTTAAAATTTTTGTTGTTGAATTGAAAATAATTTAAAACGTTATTGCCGTCATGAATCAATGCCGGATAACGACGAACCTTACTCTTTGAGAAAGCACGGACGAGCACTTTTCCCAGAAGGGTTACCACCAACCACTAGAAAAAAATTTCAATTCACTGATCCACGCGACGCGAATGCAACCGTAGATTCAGGGGTCGGGAAATCTTTAATACACCCGGAATATACTTCGGACGAAGATTCAGAGGGAGAACCAACTGTTAAAAACTCAAATAATTCGGATTTAGATAACCTTAGCGCTAATACTCTTATCGAAAATAGTGGAAATAATTCGGTCAACCTTAGTGCTAATAATCATATCGATAATAGTGGAAATAATTCGGTCAACCTTAGTGCTATTAATCTTATCGATAATAGTGGAAGTAATTCGGTCAACCTTAGTGCTAATACTCTTAACGATAATAGTGAAAATAATTCGGTTATTGAACAAGATAAAGTCGAAGTTGATTTGCCGGTCCAAAATCCAATCGATCCTAACTTAGTAAATCAAATTCATCAAGAAGGTCTAGAAAATATAAATTACATGTCATTAGCGGCTAACCAAATCATTTCTTTAAATGACGCGCTTACCTTTGTTCCTCGGTTTGACGGAGTCCCGAGTGAATTAACAGATTTCTTAAATTGTTGTAATGACGCAAAGTCCGTTTTACCGGATGCTGCGGAGAGTAATTTGACAAAATTAATATACGGTAGTAAACTCAGTTCTAAAGAACGGGCTTCCCTTAATAGCGAAATACCGGCATCGGTCGCGATTCTAACAACAGCTTTGAAAAAAATATATGTCCCTTCTAAAACTTTGTTCCAATTACAAGGGGAATTAGGTACAATTTATCAATTAGACAACGAATCTATCGTAGTATTTGCGAACCGCCTACGAAAAAAGGGCCGCGAAATAGTCGAGTGTCATGCGTCGCTAAATCCCGATTTACCACAGGCAGAAAAAGACGCTTTTAAAAATAATACAGACACGTCCGTTTCGGAATGTTTTGTACAAAACTTGCGGAATGAGATTGACCAACGTATGCATGTGTGCGATAATTCGGAGGAAGCGTTACAGAATGCTATTAATATCGAGAGGAAATTGAACGCACGAAAAGAATTACGCCGCGCACCCAAAGAAAAGAAATCTAACGAAGAAAAGAAAAAGAGCGATGAAAAAATCAAAAATTTTTCTAAGAGTGTTAACTTTACAACAGGATCCCAGAATAAGTCCAATAAACCCTCCACATCGCAAAACAATAACAAGAACAAAAATAATAACTACCAGAATTTTAATAGTAATTAAAATAGTAGTTCGAGTCCGGTAACTTGTTATAATTGTCACCAACCAGGTCACGTTATGAAAAATTGTCCAGACCTCCAGTGTCAAATTTGTTTTGAAAAAGGATATTCTGCGAAAAATTGTCCTCTATTAACAGGGAAAAATGATCAAACTAACTTTTATACTCGTGCGCGATGTCAATTGTGCGGAGTCAGGGGACATACAGTGAAATACTGAGATCAAAATCCGAATAGAATAACTTCAAATACAAATTCAAGTCCGCGGATTAATAATAATATTAACAATGATAACAACAAGGCTAATACGGGAAAATTTTGCAACATTCATCAAACGACGAGCCATAATACGGAAGAATGTAAATTTGCAAAACGACTACAGAATGCTCAACAAAATTCTTTTCCAAAGAAAGCGGGAAAAAACAACCGACCGATACACGTTGTCAAAACATCGGGAGCATCGAGCGGAGACGATTCCGAGTAATGAAAGTAAAATTAAATTTAGATTTGGATAATTTACCCTACGCTGTAGTTGGTAAGTCATCCAAAACCGGTGACGTGATTATGATGCTGGATTCGGGTGCGTCACCAAATTTAATTAAAGCTAAGTATTTATCGGATAATACAAAAATTGATCTAAATAGTATAATAGAATTGCATGGGATATCAAACGTCCCGGTCTTTACTTTGGGTAGTGTGACAATTAAACTTTTTGATAAAGACGCTGTATGTCACGTGGTTTCAAACGACATGACTATTCCGCACGCTGGTTTGGTCGGATCAGACTTTTTTGCAAAGCACGGTGCGAAAATAGACTACAAGAATAGAGTTTTAGAAGTGAATCACGAAAAATATCCCTTTAAACAATCTAATAGAGTTGAAAACGGGGTCATGTATGTTCCACGACGCAGTGAATCTACCTTATTTGTTAATATCAAAAACCCAGAAGTAAAAAAGGGTTATATTCCTAGGTTAAAAATTTGTAAGGGTGTATTTGCGGGGGATTGTTTAGTCAAAGTTCGGAAAGGACGGGCCTACATGCAAATCTATAATACAACCGATAATGAGGTCAGGATTATGATTCCTACTTTAAAGGTCCAAGAAGTCGAACAAGTATATGAGTCTACTCCTGTTGATCCAAATAACTCCCAAGAAGACATACATCAAAGTCTCGGAATTTCTAAACACATTTTTACAGTCGTTAAAGATTTTGAATTCACAAATAGATTTGAACAGATTAAACTTTTTTTGAATTTAGATTATTTAGATAACGAAGAAAAAGGACATGTTGAACGTTTAGTAAGAAAACATGCCGATCGGTTTTATATTCCAGGACAACTATTAAAATCTAGTAGCTTATATAAACATAGAATTCTAACGAATTGTGATTTTCTAATTTCCACAAAACAATATCAAATTCCCCAACATTTGAAACCTGAAGTCGAAGCTCATGTTAAAGAGGGACTCAAAACAGGCATTAGAAAGCCTTCTGAGTCGCCCTATAATAGCCCCATTTGGATCGTTCCAAAAAAATCGGATTCGAAGGGAAATAAGAGATGGCGTGTCGTGATAGATTTTCGTTTGCTAAATGAAAAAACAATTACCGACGCGTACCCCCTTCCAAATATAGTAGAAATTTTAGATCAACTTGGCGGCTCAAAATACTTCTCAGTCTTTGATTTGGCATCGGGTTATCACTAGATCGAGATGAATCCTAAAGACAGTCACAAGACAGCTTTTTCTACTCTACAAGGGCATTGGGAATACACTCGTATGCCTTTTGGATTAAAAAATGCCCCAGCAACCTTTCAGAGGTTAATGGATACTGTGCTGATAGGTCTTCATGGAGTCTCGATGTTTGTGTAGCTCGACGATATCATTGTTTTTGCTAAAAATTTAGATGACCATGAAAAGAAAATCGATGAATTGATGAATAGATTGCGACGAGCGAATTTACAACTACAATCGGAAAAATGTAATTTTCAACGACCAGAGGTGAGCTATTTGGGTCACATAATAAGTCGTGATGGATGAAGACCAAATCCCGATAAAATAAAAGCCGTCGAAAAATTTCCTGTTCCGAAGAAACAACGAAACATACGGGAGTTTTTAGGGTTAACCGGATATTATCGCCGTTTTATTAAGAATTTTTCGAGAATAGCTAAACCCTTGACAAAGTTATTAGAGAAAGACGTGGAATTTAAATGGGACGATAAAACTCACGCGGCTTTTGAAAAATTAAAATCAGCTCTTTGTACCGCACCCGTATTACAGTATCCAGACTTTTCACAACCCTTTATAATAACAACTGACGCTTCTGGACTCGCGATCGGGGCTGTACTATCGCAAGGAGAGATCGGTAAGGATCGTCCTATCGCGTGTTTCTCCAGAGTATTGGGAGGTGCCGAATTAAGATACGACACTTACGAGAAGGAGGCGTATGCCATGATTCAAGCGGTTAAAAATTTCAGAACGTATGTTTATGGTCGTCCATTTGTCATAGTAACAGACCACAAGCCTTTAGTTTGGTTCCGCACCGCCACAGACGGAAATTCTCGTGTTTTGAAGTGGAGATTAAAATTAGCCGAACATGAATATAAAGTTGTCTATAAACCAGGCAAAATTAATTTGAATGCGGACGCGTTGTCCAGAAATCCCGTGGAACCGGTACATGTCACAACCCGAGCACAAAAGGCAAGGGAAGAACTTGAAGAAGAATTTCGACCATTAAGAAATAACTACAAGGAAAAGAAAACTGCAGTAGAAACACCGAAGACTTCTCTGCAGGAAAAAAAACCTACAGTGGGAACACCGAAGACTCCCCTGCAGGGAACAGTGGGCGCTCCAACCAAGAAGAGGGGAAGACCGCCTAAACATCGAGAGAAACCTGATGAAAAACGGATTGACCCGAGCGAGGTAATGCCTTCATTAGATCTTGATGTTAATGTAGAATCCGACGCGACTTCTGATGATGAATCGAGTTCCACCGACTCGGACAGTTCGATCGAAACCACCAACGAATTAAAAAGAGAAGAAGGCAACAAAGCAACCAACATTATAGCAACGAAGGATCTATTTCAGTACCGACATGATAACATGGTATATTTTTTAAATGGAGATGGGCAACCTTGCGATGAGGGTGCTCGATCGTTGAAATCAATTGATAAACTTCTTAATGTTGGGTTCATAGACACCGGTCAAGTGTGTTGGACCAAGAAAGGAAATACGAATCATTTTGGATTGGTGATTCGCGGAACAAGCGGAGAATCAATTATACGTGTCAGAAGCAACATCGCCAAATGTCTAGTAAAGCTCAAAGGAATATTGAAGGACAAAGGAATAACAAATTTCTTAATAGCGTTTTCAGAATTCATCGAAAATGTACCGTGGAAAGAAGTGTTGTCGATAGTTCATGATATTTATGATAATGAGCCGATAAAGATAATAATTTGTCTTGGAACGATTCGATATGTTCCATACGACGAACGCGATCAAATATTTTATGAAGCCCACAAGTCAGCAATTGGGAAGCACAAAGGGGTTTCGAAGACGTATAATCGGATTAAAACAAAATATTATTGGGAAAATTTGAGACAAGATATTCAGATACGCATTCAACAGTGTTTAGAATGTCAACTCAAAAAACTAGTCCGCATCAAAACAAAACAACCAATGTTGATAACCGATACCCCCGGGACCGTTTTCGAAAAAATTGCTATGGACATAGTAGGTCCATTGCCGGTTACTGAGCAGGGTTTTGAGTATATTTTAACCATTCAAGATCAACTTTCTAAATTTTGCATAGCAGCACCATTGAATAATATGTTAGCAACAACAGTTGCTGATGTGTTTATCAAGCGCTTCATTTGTACGTTCGGGGCCCCGAAAGTCTTATTGACTGACCAGAGCCGAAATTTTATAAGTTCTTTTATGCAAAGAATTAGTAAGAGATTTAAAATTAAAAAGATACAGACAACAGCATTTAGACCGCAATCAAATGGTTCTCTAGAACGTTCCCATCACGTTCTGGGAGAATATTTGAAACAATTTGTGAGTCGAGACAATGAGTGGGATAACTGGCTTGAGCTAGCGACCTTTTCCTACAATACTTGTGTTCATGAGGGAACTAAATTTACTCCCTATGAACTTGTTTTTAAAAAAGTCGCTCGTGTACCGACTAGTGAACCCCTCCATGAACTTGATTGTTTACCAACCTATAACGACTATATCAGCAAACTAGTAAATAAATTAATAAACATTCGCGAATTAGCCCGTGAAAATTTAATTAAAGTAAAAGAGAAATCGAAAGAAATACACGACAAACACATAAAATTTGTAACGTTCAAAGCGGGAGAAAATGTTTTCCTTTTGAAAGGGCCCAAACCCAATAAATTCGGAGACCATTATGATGGGCCATATAAAATTCTAGAGGTTTTCCCTAATGGGAACGTAAGTCTAAAAATCGGGAGTAAGACAAAAGTCGTACATCCGAATCGTCTTAAGAAAACAACCATTGAAGTTTCAGCTCCCAAAAAGAAACGAACTAAAGTCGCGGACCCAGATCCCGACTTTAGACCTTAATTAATAATTTATGTTTTAGATATGAATATTCAACTTTTTATTGACATAACAATGTGTTGGGGCTGTTCCGAGGCCATAATTGGGTATGATTGTGGTAGTAAGATTTTAAATATGACTACCATATCGCTAGTAGACATTGATTAATGTGATATAGAGGAAAATCGGGTAGAAACGTCCCTCCCTGAGATTGCTCTCTTACAATTGAATGAGTATCAACATACTAACGCTATACAATGTAAAATAGAAATTCATCGTGTCATCCAACATTGTGGATGGCAGTCTTATAATTCCATAGTAAGTCAGGGAATAAACGAATATATCTACCCGATTTCTCGCGAATTATGTCAGGTCGCGCATGACCATAAGACATTACGAATAGGTAACACATTCATTGACGGTCTCGAAATAAATACCACCACGGTACGTAGTATCAGTTTGGCAGGCAGTGTTAACTCTAACGCTGACTGTACCAACTCACAGTATTCTGATCCCTTCGGTACATGGGACGATGTGTTTGTCATCGGAACGGCTAGAATCACACTTAGAGTACAAGAAATTAGAATTAAAGTTTCAGAAAATAAGGTTTATTTCCCATCGGGACATCAGTGTAAGTAAGATAAGGGAAACTGTATTGATCCCGAGTATGGATATTAGGGTGATTCATTTCCGCAAAATTTTTTTTTTTTTTCGGTGCTCATGAAAAATATTAATCTACATATAGAAAAAAAAATTCCTACCAAGTTTGAGCTCTTAATATTAATTTTAAGTACTTACAATAAAAATTTAAAGTTTTACCATTTAAAATGCATGTTATGTCCTATTACCAATTACTACAGTCATAATGATCAATAGTTAGATTAGAAAGTTAATGAAATATAATCAAATAAATACTGAAGATTATCATGAAATAATTTAAATACGATTTATACCATTAAACACAAGTGACAGCGAAAAATTGCTATTAAAATAGTAAATTGAATATAGTTTATTAAAAAATTGGCTTATTCTGTCTTAGTATTAGCGTCAATTGATTCTCGGATTAATCACTTAATACAACAAACAATGAGAAAATTATTTTGAGGTTAGGTATGCCATAAAGGGTCAAATTTTTCAACAAAGACAATAGAGACGGTAATATCATGCTAATTAACTAGAGCAATGATAGAATATGCCATCTTGGGACTGCTTGCTGCAGTTTTTCAAAGAATGATTTCTACTTATACAAAGTTGGCGTGAATAAAGTTGACTATGGGAAAAATTAAATTTTTTACTAATTTAGGAATTTTGCTACAAAAAATTAAATAATCTTCATTTTTATTTTTTTCGTAAACGACAAAAATATTGAAAAATTGTAAGATCTATGTTATAATTTTATTCTTGTAGTTTTTTTAATTAGTTTTTGTGTTGTTTTAATATTTATTATGGGTGAGAAATCATAATAATTTGAAAAAAATTTGTAGTGTAAGGAAATTTAATGGTAATAAACAGAAAAAATAAATCTACATAACATTATGAGTTAGTATTTATCAATTTCTTACGTTTCCCGCTATAAAAATGGCTGTAAATTCATTAAATATTGGTTAGATGACTTTTTTTTATGTCAGTCCTTTTTTTCTTCCTACCATTGGTGATTTGCTCGAAAAATTAAAAGAAATTATATTTTTTTCAAAAATTGTACTTTGACGACTCCTACCGGTGAACCAGTGCGAGTTACACAAAAAAACTTTGAGGCTTTTTTAAAGAGCGTGAAATTCCCCACACGGTCCATCAAACCGATTTGCAATATTGTAAAAGCCGGCTAAGCATTAGAAATTTGAAAAAAAAAAAATTTTTTTACATGCATTCTAAATGGTAAAACTTTAAATTTTTATTGTAAGTACTTAAAATTAATATTAAGAGCTCAAACTTGGTAGGAATTTTTTTTTCTCTATGTAGCTTAATATTTTTTATGAGCACCGAAAAAAAAAAAAATTTTGCGGAAATGAATCACCCTAATGGATATTCATTTTGGAATTTGCTTCAGCAAAGATTTTGTAATCTTAACACATATTCAATATTATTTAAAGGTTTTGCAACTAGGTTAAAGTCTGATACAGAGACAGTATATTCTATGAATGTAAGGGACACTAGTTTTTCTTTATATACGATTGGAACTGAGACCTCGTGTGGCGTAACGATCATCCAGACGGAACATCCAAAATTATTCATTATTACAAGCAAAGATTTAGAATTATTAGAAACAACAAATATAGTTCAAATAGATCCAGATAATTTAGATATTTTCATGTATGTGAACGCTAAATTTGTTTACGTTGAGCGGTACCTCCGGTCTCAGGTCAAATCGTTATACTTAGATGTAATTAGGAATAAATGTATTCTAGAAAAGGAAACCCTGAAAAATAAGTTGTCCATCGCCTCCACACAACCAGATGAGTTTGCTTTCCATTATATGGAAGGACCAGGGTATATGGCGGTTGTGGCATGGGAAGTGATCCACATAGTGCAATGTGTTCCAGTAGAAGTTAAGGTTCAACAACTAGACAAGTGCTATAATAGAATGCCAGTCCAACGTGGGAATCAGAGTATGTTCTTGACTCCAAGGACCCATGTTCTCACAAATTTAGCAACAGAACTACCTTGTAACTCGCCACTTTTGCAAATTTATAAATTGGGTACAACTTGGTACAAGTTTATGCCAAGACCCGTAGAAGCAGTATCACCAAAAAAATTGAAACCCAACACCAAGATGACATGGACCTAACAGAACCCAGCCAACTTAGCAATCGGGGGCATCTACACTGAAAAGGACCTCGACGCAATGCGCGGACGGATAATGTTCACCATGGAACAGTCCGCTGTGCTCGAGACGGTAGCCCAACAAATCATCAAGGACTATCCAAGATCACCGTCGATTTACAATACATTTAATGAAGACGTTTTAGATCAATTAGCCGAAAGTGCATGGTCACGAACTTGAGGCAAATTTACCGGGTTCGGCACCACTTGCGCTGGTATCATTGGGATATTTATGTGTGGGAGTATCATCAAAATGGTTGTAGATGCTCTCGTCCATAGGTATGCCCTACATACAGTATACGGATGGTCTATTTATCTTCTGGGGGCACTGTGGGATTCATTCACTCATCTGTTGCTGCATTTAGGTAATAAAAAGCAAAGTCAAGAAGAAGCTAGATCCAATAAAAATTCAACCTCCGAAGACAAATTCAACGTTGAAGGAAGAGAAATACCATCCACCTCATCCGCGATCTACCGCTGTCTCACCAAGGTCATCCCGCCAACTGATTCAACGGATTCACCAACGATACAAACGAAAAACATTTTTGTTCCATAAGAATAAACTTTAAATGAATAATAGATTAAGTTTAGTAAGTTATCCATCGAAAGGAAAATTTTGACGTCGCACTCGTCCATACATTTATCAAGTTCACTCGTACTTCCGTCTAACGGCGGGGGTGTTATGTAAAACATTTTTTTTTTATTAATATTAACTTTTATTAATATTAATTTTTATTAATATTAATTTTTATTAATAATTTCTTTTCTTTCGGAGACCGTCATAATTTTTCGTTCGTTCGTAGACCAGGTAATAGGATAATTAGGATCCATCTCCCTTACTTAGGTACTTAGTCCGGAACCTCAATGCATTTAAGGTTTTAAAGCTTGACAAACAAGTAAATGGGAGTTTTGTATACGAAAATGAACTTGTAGCCGTTTAAAAGAAACATTGGAAGATGTTATCGTTGTATTTTCAAATCTAAAGATGCCCTTAAATGCACTGTGGCACTAAAGTCCGGACTGGGAAATTTTCATAATTATAATTTCATTGAGAAATATCTTTTGGTCTACTGTCTAGACATACAACAAAAAGATTATAACTTAAGCTTAGAAAGATAATAATTTTTCGATAATAAGTAAAATTCTTAAACAACACTTTTAAACTATAGCCTAAAATAATTAAGTTAAAACACGTGTTAAGAGTAATAAATAACTAGAAGTAAAATAATGACTCAAAATGAATAGTTAAATAAAAAAACTGTTAAACAAAATAGAATTTAAATGTTAAGAGTAATTTCAAAATATTCCTCACGTCCAGAAAATAATGAATAACTAAATAGATCACAGGAATTCAGGACAAATAATTTCAAACTACGTGTTGATTTTAGTTGAACGATTCGTCCTTTTATTAGGACTTCCTCAGCAACTACAAATAAACATAAAATTATAACCTTTGTAAACAACAACAATATATGTCAAAAAATTTTTTTTTGAATACAATCATACTTTAATCATACTAGTTCACAGTTTAAAATATATTATTGTTGAAACATATAAAATATTGGTACTCATAATATGAGATTAACAAAAATTTTTTTATAACAATTTAATTTTCTACCAATTATCACAGAATAAACAGTACATCCACAATGACATCAGCTGTAATACTAGCCACCCAGTTAGTGTGTGACGGCTATGCTATAGCGCTGCCACCGCGCCATCTAGGATATCTAAATATTACTTGTTATTCAAAATCAAGCTGTCATTTTTAAAATGTCATTATAAGTGCTACTTAAATTATTAGTATCTGTTCTTAAGTTAATCGTATTATTTCTTTTTATATGAATCATTTCACTAATGTTTCTTTTAAACCAATTATCCTCGATGTCCGAAATAGTTGCCATGTCAAATTTGAAATTGTGTCCGGTGTTAAAATGATGCTCAGCTAACGCAGTAGAGTTTGTTTTCAGTATATTACTCGGTTTACAATCATATCTATGTTGATCCAGTCTTTTTTTCAATTTTTGTTTAGTTTGTCCTATGTAGAATTTTCCACACACACGGTATTTTGTAAATTACTTGAGACTGTTCCCATTTATCAACTTTATCTTTTAACTTCGTATAGATAGAACTCAATTTTACTAAATTATTAAACACAAGTTTTATATTTGTTTTATTGAAGCATTTGTTAATTTGATTTGATATTGTGTTGATAAAGGAAAATCTAATAAACTTTTTAATTTCCAGTTTATTATCTTGTATAGTTTTATCTCTCTTATAATTTTTAAATATCGTGTGAATTAGGCCAGTTGGATAGTTGTTATTTTTTAACAATTTTTCCACCTTCCCCAAATTTTCAATGTGGAACTGTTCGCTACTCAATGACAAGGATCTAAACATGAATCCTTTAATGATGCTAATTTTTTGACTCAGAGGATGGTTAGAGTAGTAGTTGAGACATCTCCCCGAGCTAGTAGGTTTAACATACCAACTGGTCAAGATCGAGTTATCATCCTTCCGTATGATCATCACATCTAAGAAGGGCAATTGATTATTCTTTTCCATTTCCATGGTAAACTGAATCTTCTTGTTGATGCTATTAAAGATGTCCAACACTGTGCTCACTTTATCCTTTGGGATTGCCGTGATCGTATCATCAACATACAACTTCAGAAAAGGCACTGGAAATGGTAGAATTTCCATTACTCTCTTCAAAATGTGATTCATCACTATGTTTGCTAATATGGGGCTCGATGGATTGCCCATACTTGAGCCATCAAGTTGTTGATAAAATGACCCATTAAACTGAAAGTAGCTCGAATCAAAGCAAAATTGTATTAGCTCCAACAGAATGTCTTTCGGAATTTTTATTAATCTTGAGAGATCATGCCAGTCATCAATAATTATATCCCGTACTAGTTCCATAGGTATGTTGGTAAACAATGAGACGACATCCAGGGATACTAAGATATAGTCATCTTGTATTTTTATTTTATTAATGAACTTCACAAACTCAAAAGAGTTTTTTGTAGAAAATACAAATCTTGCTGATAACGATGTCGTCAATACATGATGTAGAAACTTTGCTAGTTTGTATACGGAGACTGGATAGAGCTAACCACTGGTCTCATAACACAACCAGGTTTGTGTGTTTTCCTTAGCCCGTACAGTTTCGGAGAAACAGCATTGAAGCTTTTAAAGTCCTTTTCTAGCTCATCTGAAATGACCAAATTAGTTTTTAATTTAGTAATTAGGTCATTAGCTATTTTTTCATATTTACTTGTCGGATCTTTATCTAGTTGTAAATAAGTATTTTTATCATTCACCAATTTATACATTTCTTCCAGGTATTCCTCTTTATACATTATCACTGTATTTCCACCTTTATCAGACCTTGTACCATCAGATCCGGATGTTCTTTCACGAAACGCTTTGTTGCCTTGAAATCAACTGTGAGACCTGCTTTCAATGTTCTATGGTTCTTCCTATAAAAATTTGAGTCTAGATATACCGTTTTCGATCTTATATTTGGTTATATTTGGCAAAAATTTGAGGGCATAATGGAACCCGATTTTTTGCTCCTAAATCTATTATTCTTCGGTTTGACATACATTTCTTCATTTTACAAGGTCATACAAGGTTAAAATAGGTTCAATAAATATCGAAAGGTACGTGGGATGTCTTAAGAAGTACCCCGTAATTCTCAAATACTATAACGAAATTTGAGGGCATAAAGAAACCTGATTTTTTTAGCCTCAATCGATAATACTCGGGTTTGACCTACTTTTATTGATTTTTCGAGGTCATACAAGGTCAGAATAGGTTCATCGAAAAATCAGAGGGACGAAGGATGATTCGGGAGGTATCCTGTGATTTTATAAAACCTTAAAAACATTTGAGGGCACGAAAAAACCTGATTTTTTACGCCTAAATCAATTTTACTTGAGTTTGACCTACTTATTTATATTTTTACAAAGTCACACAAGGTCAAAATACGTTCAATTAGTATCAAGAGGAATAGATAATGACACAGGAAGTGCCCTGTATTTTTTTAGGCGCCATAAAACTATTTTAAGGAGTAAGATAACATGATATTTTAGGCCTAAATCAATTGTACTTGGGTTTGACGTACTTGTATTGATTTTTCCAGGTCACACAAGGTCAAAATAGGTTTATCAAAAATTCAGAGGGACAAAAAATCACTCAAGAGGTCCCCCGTAATTTTATAAGACGAAAAAAAAATTTAAGGGCATGAAAAAAACTCATTTTTTGAGACTAAATCAATTTTACTTGAGTTTGACCTACTTTATTATATTTTTCAAGGTCATAGAAGGTCAGAATCGGTTCAATAAATATCGAGAGGGACAAAGGATGACACAGGAGTTGTACTGTCATTATTAAGGGTCATTAACAAATTTTGAGGCATCAAGAAACCAGATTTTTTGGGCATCAATCAATTGTACTTAGTTTTGACCTACTTTTATTAACTTTTAAAGGTCATACAAGGTCAAAATAGGTTTAATTAGAAATAAGACGGACAGTGGATGACTAAGTAGGTATCCTTGAATTTTTAAGGAACATAAAAAAATTTTAGGGCATAAAGAAACTGGATTATTTTGGCGTCAATGAATTTTACTTGGTTTTGAACTAGTTTTATTAATTTTTTAAGGTCATGCAAGGTCAAAATAAGTTTAAAAAATATAGAGAGGGATGTATAATGGTTTTAGGAGGTACCTTGTAATTGTCAAGTACCATCAAAAAATTTAAGGGAATAAAGAACCCTGATTTTTTGGGCCTCGATCGATAATACTTGGGTTTGACCTAATTTTATTAATTTTTCTAGGTCATACAAAGTCAGAATAGGTTTATCAAAAATTCAGAGGGACGGAGGATGACTCAGAAGGTACACTGTTATGTTATAAAATCAAACAAAAATTTAAGGGCATAATAAAACCTGATTTTTTGCGCCTAAATCCATCATCCTTCAGATTGACATACTTTTCTCTATATTTGAAGGTCATACAAGGTCAAAATAAGTTCAATAAAAATTAAACGGAAGAGAGGATGACTCAAGAGGTACCCTGGAATGTTATAAAATCAAAAAAAAATTTAAGGGCATAATAAAACCTGATTTTTGGCGCCCAAATCAATTTTACTCGAGATTTACCTACTTTTTTTGATTTTTTTAGGTCATACAAGGTAGGAACAGATTCGATAAAAATTTAGAGCGAAGGAAGATGACATAGGAAGTCCCTTGTTATTATAAAGGACAATAATAAAATCTGAGGTCGTAAAGTAACTTGATTTTTTAGGCCTCAATCGATAATTCTTGGGTTTGACCTACTTTCATTAATTTTTCGAGGTCATACAAGGTCAGAGTAGGTTCATAAAAAATTTAGAGCGACAAAGAATGACTCAGGAGGTACCCTGTAATTTTATAAGACCAAAAGAAAATTAAAGGAGTTGAAAAAAACGGATTTTTTGGGCCTAAATCAATTTTACTTGAGTTTTACCCACTTTTTCATTTTTTTTAAGGTCATACGCGGTCAGAATAGGTTCAATAAATATCGTGAGGGACAGATGATGACACAGAAGTTGTACTGTGATTATTGAGCGCTATTAACAAATTTTAGGGCTTCAAGATACCAGATTTTTTGGGTATCAATTAACTGTACTTAGTTTTGACCTACTTTTATTCAATTTTTAAGGTCATACACAGTCAGAGTCGGTTCATCAAAAATTTAGAGAGACGGAAAATGACTCAGGAGGTACTGTTACGTCGTGGCTAAATTAACGTTTTTTTATTTTTTGTCTTAAAATAATAAGAATTTTTATTAATTTTAAAATATATTTTTTAGGAAGTAAAATTTACAGCAGACACTAATAATTAGAGAACTCATTAACTGTTTCGTCCGGTCTCGCCAAAAAATTCCCGTCATTAGGTCATCTTATCTCTAAGGATTAAAAAGACCCTAAATACACAAGTTAATGGGAGTTTTATTGCCCTCTGTATTGACAGCATTTTGAACAAGAACCTTAGAGATTTTTAAACGTTAATAGGACTAAATTTAAGAGAACAATAAATTTAAAACTTTTAAAATAAATAATTTTAAATAACTAAAATTGATAATTAAATTGAACAACAAATTAAGAAATAATATTCACGTAAATAAGAAATATTTAAATAATTAGTAAAAATAAGAATTAACAAATAAACAATAGGAAATATTTATATAGTTATTTAAAAATTAATAATATACAATTAACAACAATTGCATAAATAATTATGTGCGAAATAAATAACTAAAAGAAATGAATATTATCATTCATAAAACAAACTAAATAAATAAATAAGTTAGTAATAATTATAAATAAAATATAAGACTTAGTTAGAAAAACTATGTGTTTGTGTGCATGTAAATGTGCTTACACGTATACCAATACATAGATATATATTAGCCATAAGTAAGAGAGAGAGGCACCTCATGCCTCTGGGCCCAAAGAAGGGAGTTTAAGCGAATATGTTTAGAAAACTTGGAAGAGAGGGTAGAATCTAGGGGAAATAGACAGCTAATTGGATACTGTTTTCCCCCAAATAGTAATTTCGAAACGCCCGAAAATTTGAGTCTTAAGAGAACTTCGCATAAACTCGCTCTCTCGTCGTCCTGACCCCGAAATTTGCGAATCGCCAAATTAGCTAGTGACCGGTTTTCTCTCACGCAGCTAAATAGTTTTTTTAAATATGGACTCTCTCGTCGTCCTGACCCTGAAATGTGCGGATCGCCCAATTAGCTAGTGACCGAATATCTCTCACGCAGCTAAATAGTTTTTTTAAATATGTACTCTCTCGTCGTCCTGACCCCGAAATGTGCGGATCGCCCAATTAGCTAGTGTCCGGGTTTCTCTCACGCAGCTAAATAGTTTTTTTAAACTCACTCTCTCGTCGTCCTGACCCCGAAATGTGCGGATCGCCCAATTAGCTAGTGACCCGGTTTCTCTCACGCAGCTAAATAGTTTTCTTAAATATGTACTATCTTGTCGTCCTGACCCCGAAATGAGCGGATCGCCGGATTAGCTCGTGACCGTGGTCACTCTCACGCAGCTAAATAGTTTATCTTAAATTAAAATCAATGTCTTGAAATAAATAGTTTATTTCAAAGTAAAATCGTAGTAATATTTTAAATAACTTTTGTCTAAACTTTAGTAAAATTAAATAAATAATTAACCTCGTTAAATAATAAAACATTAATTAATCAAAGAACCACGTGTGTCAACGTAGCAATAAAGTTATGTGTTTGAACTTATTGTAGTTTCACATGTGTTCGATTCTGAATTATTAATATAAATCTGAAACAATAGAATTTTTGTAAGAATTAAACATTCAACTATTGTAACCTTTGTAACTAGTGTAACTTTTGTAATTTTCGTAACTTTAGTAATTTTTGTAACTTATATTGATTTTAAATATATTGAATAACATAAATTTAAAGCGAAATAATTTATTTAAAAACAATAAACCAATATCCTGTCATAATACTTCTGGGTTCCCGATCTAGTGGTTGATAAATACCAGGATCAAAACAAATTTAATAATTTACGTTCAACGATTTGGACGGAACAGTACCCTGTAATGTTATAAGACCCTAAAAAAATTTGAGGGCATAAAGGAACCTGATTTTTTGGGCCTAAGTCTATTATCCTTCGGTTTGACATACTTTTCTTAATATTTCAAGGTCATGCAAGGTCAAAATAGGTCCAATAAATATCAAGAGGGACGTAGGATGTCTTAGAAGGTATTCCGTAATTGTCGAGAACATTAAAAAAATTTAAGGGCATAAAGAAACCTGATTTTTCGGGCCTAAATCAATTGTACTTGGGTTTGACAAACTTTCATTAAATTTTCAAGGCCATACAAGGTAAAAATAGGCTCAATAAAAACAAAAAAGGAGCTTAAATAACTCAGGAGGTACCCTGAAATTTAATTAGACCATAAAAAAATTTCAGGGCATTAGGAAACCTGATTTTTTGGGCCTAAATCCATTATCCTTCAGTTTGACATACTTTTCTTTATATTTGAAGGTCATGGAATTTCAAAATAGGTTCAATTAAAATCAAGAGGTAGAGACGATGACTCAGGAGGTACTCTGTATTTTTATTAGACCATAAAAAAATTTCAGGGTTTTAAGAAACCTGATTTTTTGACCCAAACTCAATTATCCTTAAGTTAGACATACTTTTCTTAATATTTCAAGGTCAAGCAAGGTCAAAATAGGTCCAATAAATATCAAGAGGGACAAAGGATGTCTCAGGAGATATACCGTAATTGTCAAAGACTATAAAAAAATTTCAGGGCATTAGGAAACCT